ACCTAATTAGTGTATGTGTTCCCTAATCTGTTGGTTGATCTGCTGTGTCCATTCATACCGGTAGACTCAAGAACTGGAACTTTGAAGGTGGGATAGGACGAGGTCAGTGGGAAGAGCATTTGCTCTGAGTTCACGAGGACCTGAGTTTGAAAACCCAGAACCCACATGAAAAACTGGGCATGGCTGCATGTGACTGTAACCCCAGCATTGAGGGGCAGAGATGGGCACATTCCCAGAGCTTGTCAAAGCAAAGAGGTGTTAGCTTGGGGAGAGACCTATCTCAATGGGTGAGCCTGTGGAACGTGTAAACTATAATGTTAAGTGTTGGGATGATTTTATTAAGTTGTAAAGATCCAAAACCAAAGAGAGTAACTTTTCCTAAATAGTGTAGTCACAAAAAAGGAAGCTGGGAGCCAGTGGTGAAGTTTTCACAGACTTTTGGACCCCATTGGCTCCACCAGATTTTATGACTGTGCCAAATAGCTGTCCCTACCAGATGTTTTTCAGAAGCCCAAGGGGATGTTTGCAGAAGCACTCTGAACTCCGTCTGTGAGGTGATGGGGTCTCCCTTCTCGGCTGGATCCTGGCAGTGGATGGGGACCCCAGCACTGAGGACTCCAGTGCTCAGGGGAAGGCGGAGAGGGTGGTTCTCCTCTTCCTGTTACCAGTGGAAGGATTCCCCAAGCACAGCTGCATGAGCGGTGTGTGTTTGCTGTGCCTACCGAGGTACATTTGGGAGTTCTTCACAAAGGACCTGTTCCCTTCTAGCCAGTGCCCTGCTAGGACCGGCCATGAGCCATATTTGGGCCTCAAGTAGGAGACACATTCAAAAGACAAGGCATTGCGCTCTCTCTCTTTCCAGACCGGCTCTGTCTCAGAAGGCCAGAACCCTCCTTCAAAAGGAAAAGCTGTGGATTTCATCTCCCCAGGCCCTAAAGAGTTTTCTGGCTGGCCTGTCTCAACTATTTGTCAAATATTTCCAGGCAAGTTTGACTCTCTGAATCTCTTAACCTCCAAACACGGCTAGCTCAGGATGATCCTGTCGCACTTTACGGAGCTCTGGCCCCGGCAGTTCAATGCGCCTGTCTTAGGCTAGCCTTTTAATTGATATTTAATTTCATTTTTGCTTTTATGGCCCTGAATGGCCCAGACACCCTCTCCTACCTAGAAAACAATGGTTTTCCTCCTGCGGTTGTAATTTTCTTTCATTTGGATGGTTTCTTATTTTGTCTCGATTACAGTAGACAGTAAATCCGTGCTAACCCTGAGACACTAATTGAGATGCCTTGTGTGAAAATAAAAAGTGGGGCTTCTACATGTGTTCTCTGATTTCCCTCTCTCAAGTCCAGTGCTTGAATTGAAAATGTAAACATCTTGATCAAAACTTTTCAGGTGGCTATCTTTGGTTCTTTGTGATTCTAACTGTAAGCTCAACATTTGTTGTCTCAAGTACCCTTGGAAGGAGAAATACTCCATCACATCCTCTTACTGTTCCCCCACCCCTCCCTCCCCCCACATTTCTCAAACAAAAGCCTGAACCCAAAGGGCTCACACAGAATTTCAGAAGCCCATGATTACTCTTCAGAAATTAAAAAAAGAATCCCACATTTGACAGAAATTGTTAAGAGTCTACAATTAACAAATAGATATGGCATTAGCGTTTTTCTAATCAAAATCTATTGTTCTGCGGAGGCTCTGAGCTGTTGTTGTAACTGACAGTGGCTTGCCCTTCCAGGAAGCCCAGGGAAAGAGTGGCATGTGCAGAGGTGAGTGAATGTGTAGCCATGCTCGTGTGCTCGGGTCCTAATCTGTCAGCTCTCCCCAGAGCAGCTGAACTCCTGCTCTGTCTTAGGAGAGTATCAATGTGTCTCTCAAACTAACCCTTTCTTTCCTGGATATCCTCAAAAGGAAAGAAAAAAACAATAGTCTCAAAAGTTCTTGTTGAACTCAAATAATAATAATAATAACAACAAAATTAAAAAGAAGAAAAGAAAAGACTCGGTGGAGCAGGATATGGAAGCATCTAGCAGGTGTCACTTCTGATGGAGAGGGCACATTCTACCTGGATCTGCAAAAGTCAAGGCAAAAGAAATTCTCTTCAAGTCTTCAGGGGTTTAAATAATTAACTGGGCCATGTATTTTGCCTAATGACGCAAGGACTTCAAATGTTCTTTGCTGAAAGAAAATATGTCAGTGACACAATTTGTTGATAGACAAATTTTCATAGACAATGGTCCACCTAACTTAAAAAAAATGCCATAGCTGCTGCAAATGAAAAAGAGGGAGAAAAGGGGGAAGTTCTTGATTCAATTTAAGGAATAGAAACTGGTACTCTGTATTAATGATCTCGATGGTTCTGGGGTGTTCTTCAAGAATGCTCCCAGACATAGTCACCACACTCTGGTGAGGAAAGGGTGTTACTGAGCATCCAAGACCCTGCCCAGAGCCCAGCATGCATGCTAACCATATGCTGGCAGACTTCCTGCCAGCCTGTTTAATAGCAGGGTACAGAGCCTGGACCTTCCCTGGTGGGTGCCTGCTCAATACCATCTGGGCGGGGCCGCTGAGGGAGCTGGAAGGTGTAAGTCCTTCTGGCAAAGACTGCTCCTCACCCAGGAAATCCTGCCTAGGGAACATGGCTCAAGTTGATGAGAGAAGACAAATTCTGAGGCTTGATCCACTCTTACTTGTCAGGACCACAAGACCAGGGGACATACTATAAACAAGGTGTAAATATTTTATTTTTAAAAATTAACTCTCAAGAACATACATTTCTTTTCAGCATCCTTTAGCCCCTTGGCAGTAGCATCAAGGGAACACTCCTTCCCTGGAAGGTGACTTCTGAGTTCTTCTGAAGGCAGATGGTCCTCAGCTGTCTCCATTCCCACCCTTGTGCCCACCCTATGGGATTTTGCTAGCTGCTCCCAGGTTACCCTTACCTGTATTCCCTATGACCTGCAGATTCAGGGATCCTGCCCTGGGCCATGAAATACACTGATCACTGTTTGTGTGATGATGAGCCACTGATGCTCAGAATGACCCTCTCAACCCATCTGCCTGGCCACCATATAGCATTTCTGCTCTCTTTGGCCGCAAGACTAGGACATTGGGACGAGGAGATCTGGAGCTCTGGGTATTGGATAATGGGCATCATCTAGACAGTGTGTGATCCAGACGTGGGTTTGCAGCTCCTGGGTATCATGGTGCCTCCATCTCATGGGCTATCTGCCTGCTGGAGGATGATGGTCAGATGAGGACCACAGCAAGAGGCCTCATAAAACCACAGGAAGCCCAGTACACTTCCTTTTTGCTCAGGCCAGGTTTTGCCAAAAGCCATGTCCGATTATTGAAGCTGTGACAAGAATCTGATGGATATGGGCATGTTAGGATATTCAGTGCACCTCTAACAGGCGATTTGATCAAGAAGCTAAACGGGGAAGGAGGGTAAACTCATAAAGGGTATGGCTGGAAGGATACCTTGGTGATGAGATGAACATTAGCATTTAGGAAGAAAAAAACTGGACATGTATGGAGTCAGCATAGTGAGGGAACATTTCAACATTGCTGGAATTTTAGTGAATGGAGAAATTCAGGGATGAAGGCAGCATAGGGTGGGGGCATGGCAGCTCTACCAGATGCTTCCAGGGTAGGCTTCTTCTGGAGAGTTTTATAAGACAGACCACCTTAGTAGATGAGTAGTTATTTGTTTCAGATTGAAACATTATAGAGCAACAGTTCTTAACCTGTGGGTTGTGACCCCTTGGGGGGGGTCATATATCAGATATCCTGTGGTTTGAAAGAAAATGGCCCCCAAAGGGAGAGGCACTATTAGGAGGTGTGGCCTTGTTGGAGTAGGTGTGGTTTTGTTGGAGGAAGTGCATCACTGTGGAGGTGGGCTTTGAGGTCTCATATATGCTTAAGCCATGCCCAGTGTTTTAGTTCACTTCTTGTTGCCTTTGGATCAAGGTGTAAGAACTCTCTCCTTGAGCACCTCATCTGCTTCTATGCCTTGCTCCCTGCCATGACAATAATAGACTAAACCTCTGAACTGTAAGCCACCCCAATTAAATGTTTTCCTTTCTAAGAGTTGCTGTGGTCATGGTGTCTCTTCACAGCAATAAAAACCCTAACCAAGACATCCTGCATAACACATATTTACATTATGATTCATAACAGCAGCAAAATTACAGTTATGAAGTAACAATGAAATAATGTTATGGTTGGGGGTCACCACAACGTAAGGAACTGTATTAAAGGGTCGCAGTGTCAGGAAGGTTGAGAACCACTGTTGTAGAGGGAAGACAGACCCTCAAAAACTGACAAGAGAGTTGCCAGACTTGCAAAGCCCCTCACCTAGGCTATGTAAGCGGTGACAGTTGCTGGGGGAGAGAAGACTCTTCAGTGGAGCTGCCCACAACACCAGTCATGCGGCCCCGACGAGGTGCCACCTGTGTGGGGATAGGCTTCTAAAAGTACATCTGCCTTTTAGTCACCCATGCTCCTGTATGTAACTGCAATAGCCAGGCTTGTGAAGAATCGTCTTTGCCCTTCCTGGGGGTGGATAATGTTGTTCATTGCTCACTCATTATTATACAGCAATGGATAACTTTAGGATGTCCAGCTTGAGGATCTTGGGGAATCACAAGGAGAGGCATTGAGGACAAGTCATGGGCTGGGAAGCAAAGGGGTGTCTGCATCTAAGTTCAGCCTTCATGATTCTAAGCTACGGTGTCGAGTAATTAATTGTGAGGGATGAGCTTTGAAATTTTAGGCATCCTCATTTTGAATACAGAGACTATGGTGTGGGAGCATGTTGGAGGTTTGGTTTGGTTTGGTTATTTGTTTGAAAGTTTGCTTTCCAATGCTAGATGGCTAACTAAGATGGCCAGTTGATATCTTGAAGTCTGTTTCCACTATTTATAGAAGACATCCTGTTCCTCATCCACTGAAAAGCAAGTAACCTATGTAGTGGATAAAATAGCAACTGCACATAGTCCCTAACTCACAATGGTTCATTCAGGAATTTTCAAAATTACATCAGCACAAAAAACAGTAAGACATCCAGTAGCAACGGTACTTAGACTGTTTTGTTTTTGAGACATTCTGACTGTGTAGCTCCTTGGGCCTCAAACTAAATGCTCTTCTTTCCTCAGCCTCCTCAGTGCTGGGATGGCATGACTCTGGGTGGTGACAGCTGGCAGTGTCTCTCAGCCAGCCTCTGGTCGGTACCATCTTTCAGGGAGCTGGTTTGCGGAGTTCAGTGGGTTAGCTACATTAAACACACTTTCAGCGGGGGCTGTGCTCACTTCCCACGTGCTTAGTGAGACACGCATCTACCAAGAGCCTCTGCACTTGAACAGAGCGGCGACAGGGGCCTCGGTGTGTCGGCATATCCTTTGCTGGATTCTTAAAACGCGCCAGTCAAGTGGCCTTCGGCATCTAACTCACCCCCTGTACTAGAGGCAGGCTGCAGCTGGTGAGGGAGCCTGCCGGATTTCCCAAGTGTTCAAGACGCTGGGGACAAAAAGCGCTCCCCTGCTAGCATGCAACTTCTGAATAACTCAACACTCACTGAAGTACCTAACTTGCAAAAGCAGGCCCCACGGACTGGAGCTGTGCTTTTCGGGAATGCGGGGATGGAGTGGAGGAAGCCATCGTAAACGGACCATCTAGACGCAAGCCAGCGCCTCGACGCACATTGCAGTTGGTGCTTCGGATTGTCAGTGTTTCAAAGGGCTTGTTTCCCCGAGACAAGATTTTCTTGTTCTCTTTTTTTACCTTTTTGGCTGGTAGCAATAGGATGGCATGTTGTTATTTTCCAAGTTGCCAAGATTAATGCTCATTTTCTGGTTAATTAGAATCTTTTAAATAAAAACACTCCAAGTTCAGCCCATTGTTGCGCTCATTACCATTTCTGTAGTATCTTTGCAGGCAGCTATTATGCAAGACTGCGGTAATTTTAACACAGCCCTTTTATTCTGTTTGTCTTTATTGAAGACTTGGTGCTCATTATTGGATTGTCTCCTGACAGCCCAGAATACTCCCCCAGACTCTCCTCCTGAACTGTGAGAATTCTATTTTGCATCCTCAAGGGCCTTCCCGGATCAGGTAAGAGACTGCTTTAGAAGATAAAGAAAACTTGGTGTCTGCGAGCTCTTTCCATGGCGCCCTTCCCACCGGGCCCTTCAATCTCCCCTATGCTTCAGCATTTGAGGGTTTCTTCCATTCTGCAGACATGCACTGTCTGATGAGTTCCTATCCCTCTATCTGCTTTCTTTTACATTAATTGCCTCAATACTGTGTTTCAGGAGGTGATTGGAGGAGTCATTTGGACATGTAATCTACCATGGATTAAGTATGTAACCATGGAGCAAGCATGTTACCATGGAGTAACCTACTCTGTGTTTGGCAATTCACAGAAAAAGCTTCAACTAAACTGAAAAACTCTTGCATGCTCAAATTACTCTTCACAAGAAGCAAAGAAAGATGAATTTTGGGTGTCCATGGACTATCTACTAGTACATAGCTCTGAGTATACATACAAAGTCCGTGGCTGAGCCGAAGTGAGACAGGCTTGAATTTGACCTGCTTTTAAATTTGGTCCTACCCATCTCAGTGGCCAAAGTCTTCCACTGTGTTCAGGGCCCGGTTGTTCTTGAGCCTAAATGTCCTCCACTTACAGATCTCCCAGGGGGCTGCTAGCTAGGGGTGAGCGGGGGCAGCTGTGCCTCTGGAGTCCCCACTTGGGCTCTCTGTCAAGTAGTAGCTCTTATGTACGTGTGATGTTTTCAGCACGGTCTACTTGAAAGAAGGCAGGAAGTCCGGTTGCTAAGGGAGGACCTTTGACTGCTTGGTCTTGTTTTGACCAGTTCTAAGTTCTTGTTGTCTCTCTTCACGTTCCCACCCACCTTGAAAATTTTTTGCCCAGCCCCTGGCTCCCAGAACTCCAACATGGGCTTTGTTTTACAGCTTAAGTGTAAATTGAAGATCAGTCAACCGAAGGTGTATTTTCCGCACCTCACAGAGACGGAATCTAGAACACCCACATGGTACCTGCTCCTTTGTCTTACGTCTTATTTTACGTGTATTTCCCCTTGGAAGCTCATGGATTCATTTAATGAGTCTATAAACATCACTGAGCTGGTCCCTGGTTGTTTACAGGAATATGGTGTCCCCAGCCAGACCCTGGGCAGAAAATTCCTCTTTCCAAAGGTACCATGAGACAAGTGCTGGTGGTGGGCAAGGAAGGACCTGTGGGCCCTCGGGTAGAAAGCTTACATGGGCTGGGGGAAGAAAAAGCATATAACCATTAGTCATATGGATGTCCGAGACCTTGGTGGCCCTTTTATTTCTCATTTAAATCCTGCTCTACTTGGAGTCCCCAATGCTTCAAATGGCTCCCGTGAATATGTAGAAATAAGTGTTCTTTGGAAGCCCTGTGACAGTCCTCATCAAAGGCCGATCTCTCTGTCCAAGGGTGAGTTTTATGAGAGGGAGAATAACGGGCAGCTAACCACATTTTATTCTCTGACATTCCAATTACATTAAGCAAGGCAAGCATTAGAGATCAATGGATGGGTCGGCCCAGTGATGTGAGGGCAGAGAGGGGCGGGTCACTGAAGAGATGGCCCAGGGTGGCCACGGGGCAGTGGTTGGTACCTCTGAACAGAACTCGCCCTCTGCGAGCCTCGGCCTGCGGCTTCTAAAGAGCTGTCCCTTCATTACCTCCCCGCTGTCCCAGTCTGCCAGTATGAGCCTGTCAATCTGGACCATTGCCTGGGCTGGAAGGCCGGTTAACTAGGGTTCGGCTCAGCATTTCAAAAGACGGTTTCTGTTTGTGGAAATAATAAATGAGTGCACTCTCTACTCCTAGGCATTTTCCACTGAAGCCCGATTGGCCTCCAACTCGGGCTCCATCAATCTGTTTCTAACTTCACCAGTCCAGGTGCCCATGGAGTTTGTCTTTTCTGTTCAAACTAGCTGTGTATCCTTTCTTGATTTTACAGTTGATTGACTATGGCGTGGAGTTTAGTAGATTGGGGATCAAATAAATGAGAACCATAAAATTTCCTCCCTGGGGGCTAGGTTTTGATTATTTTGTTGACCCTAGAGCAAGACATGCACTTGGGGCAAAAAAGAAAAAAAAAAAAAAAAAAAGAAAAAACCCAAACCTCCACATGGCCAAGGCCAGATGTTCCTGCCAGGACTGATTCAATTACATTTAAAGTAAAAAGGTAGGAAATGCACCCCCCACCCACCCCCCGAGAATTAGCACATACCTGGTGGAAGATAAACGGAGTATCTGTCATAGCAAAAGACCTCATGGTCCCTGGAAAATGAAGCTGATATGGCTCTCTGGCTGGGGTTCTGGAGGACTCCCAGGAGCTACATCAGGGTTAGTGACATAAGTCCATTCACAGGAGGATTGCCTTGACTGCAAGGATCTAACAGCTTTATAATTCAATTACCACCCCAAATCTAGTGCTTTCTAAAAGGGTGGCTATCAAAGGAGAGAATGTAGACGTTGGCAGCCTGTTCATAAACACTTTATTACCATGGAACACTTTATTGCTCTGGAAGTTTCTGTGTACCAAGTGCCTGCTATTTGCTAAATGGTGGGAGAGGGGATGTGTTCGAAGTAAAGGAATATGGTGAGGGTGGAGAGGATCTTTGCCAAAAGTCTACTTGCTGTCTACCTGTTTGCACTGAGACTCAGTCATAATGAGCAGACCATTAGCACATTTAAACGGTAAAATAGCATTACTTGATTATCCAAGAGGCTGCTGGGAGTGCTTGGGTGACTCTCTCCCCACTTCATGGAGGTCTCTCTGTCAGGCAGTGTAAGTTCCAGAAACGTGGTTCCTTTGGTCCCATGGACTCTGGCCCGAGAAGGGCCCCATTCTCAGACAGTCCATTTTGAATTCTCAACAGATGTTGAATAAGGGGGGCCCAGCATTTCTGTTTGATCTGGGCTCTGCACATTATGTGACTGGCCCTTCTTTATCAGTGGTGTGCCCTGGACTAAGGGTGAGTCATTCAGAATAAATCTGCAGTGAAGCCATACTTCTTAACTAGATAGAGGCCAAGATACAGACATTCACGTGTCTCCCAGAGATTTTTCCTTTCTGGTCATCATTGTCTGAATGTCCCTATAATTCACAATGAAATTTCTTACAGGCTGTCCTTGGTTAACGTAATGGGAAAGTCACAGCAGAAAATGTGTTGAGTGGTGCCTACTCCCATTGTATGGTAGGCTGAAAAGGATACCTGGCCCAATATGTACCAATCCAAGTGTCTCTCACAAGCGTGTGGACTTGGAATTGATGCTGTCAATCTTTATAACTGAGGGAGGGTGAGAAAACTCAGAAACTGCAAGGTAGCCATCTTGTATTATATGTAGGGAGAAACAAAGAAGGCCATACTGTCAGCCCCAAACACAAACAGATGTGCAAAGAGGCTGAGATAAGAGAGCGTGGCTTTGCCGAGGGGACATGGAAAGTTCTGGATGAATTTCCAGTTCCAGTGAGTTTGTGGTTTCATTTCCTGCTCCTCTTAGAACAGAGCTGGGCTTCCTGTCCTTGAGTGTCTAGACCTGCGTTTCACCCCAACAGTTCCCAATTTGTTTCCAGTTAGGAGGCTTGAACCCAGAACTCTGCACACAGCAGACAAGTGCTTTGCCACTCGGCTGCATCTGCAGCTCCTTACCCACTCCCTTACAATTACAGGTGAAAGTACCCATGGTGGTGCAGGGTGGTGGCGGCGCTCGCCTTTAATCCCAGCACTTGGGAGGCAGAGCCAGGCGGATCTCTGTGAGTTCGAGGCCAGCCTGGTCTACAGAGCGAGATCCAGGACAGGCACCAAAACTACAACTACACAGAGAAACCCTGTCTAAAAAAAAAAAAAAAAAAAAAAAAAAGAAAGAAAAAAGAAAGAAAGTAAGTGCTCATGCTGGTGTGTTGCTGGCTCACACCTTGTATACTGTTAAGTTCCCAAACAGTCACGGCATTCCATTGGTTACGGAATGAGTCAAGATGGGCCCTAGCTGTGGGAAGTGTTTGGTGATTATTTAGAAGTTACATTTATCAGGTAACATCATTCAGCCTCTCATTTTCTAAGATAGAGCCTTGTGGCACACAGTAACTGCCACAAGTCATGTGTTTAAAGTCATTTAAAATGTTCATGGCGAAGATGCCACATTAATCATATAATTTGGGCTAATGTGAATATTTTTATAGGGTTATTAACATTTCAAAGATGTTAGAGCTGTTTTGGAATTTAAAATTAGATTTATGGATTTGAGGAACACATAAAAAATTAATCTGATTTCTCCTGGTTTGAAATCGAGAATGAAAGAATTGGCAGCGGCGGAGTTAGTGAATGGAATGAAAAAGGCAATTTAAAAGATAAGGAAAAAAGGTAGGCACCGAGGAGCCTGGGGAAATGCGGACGTGACCGACGAAAGGGGACATTTTCGACTGGGAAGTGAATGGAAGACCGTGGGGCGTGGGCAGAAGCATGGAAGCCCCACAGGACCGGGATGAGGCTTGTGTGGGCTGCTTCTGGACGGCGTCTTTCCTCCTGTTTTCACTAATTCTTAAAAAGCCCTTCTTTTTGGTCACCCGTTCATTCTTTGGGGTGACATTGGTGTTTTCATAGAGTTTGCTCTCAAGTAAGGTTCGAGAGATGAAGGAACCCCAAAGTCATTATAGCAGAGGGGACCCCAGATGGGAAGGGGACGCCCCGTCGCAAGCGTCTCCAGGGTAAGCGCTTCATCCTCGCTGGCTCGCTTAGTCCGGAACACAGTCTGAGGCCAGAACGACGTTTTTTAGTGCCTACAGTGGCCGGGGAGACCTAGCAAGGGCTCATGGGAGGCGGGAGAGCAGCACTACACGTGAGTCCTCGCAATGGACATTCACCCTCGGCTGCTGCCACGTGAGAGGGCATTTCCTGCTGCCACGTGAGAGGGCATTTCCTGCTGTCAGAGCTTTCCTTGTTCAAGCGAAGTTTCAAACCCGTTTATCAACACACAAGGTACGATTTTAAAAAGTTATATCAATTTTAAAACTACCGTACAGCAATTGTAGAATGGCATGCTTATGGTCTTACCATGGTATGGCTCATAATGACAAGAGACTGGAAACAACCGAACATTCACCAACAGTGGAACCAATTGGTCCATCTTCTGTGAGTATAGTGCAGCCTAGCTGAGCAGCAAGAGACCTCCTTCACGCTTCAAGCTTCATGGCACATGGCTAAGTGAAAAAACGGGGTACACTTCAGCGTGCCTGTCTTACCACTTGTGTACGGTTAACACACATATCCACGCACACGTTTGCATATGAAGAAAGTATCTCTGGAGGCACACACGCATGTTTAGATGGTGGGTGGATAAACTGGTAGCATTGGTTGCCCCAGGATGGGCACCTGTCTGGCAGGGAAGGCATTGCCATATACTCCTATTTCACTGAGCAGAAGCTTTGTGGGGGGTCGTAAGTCATCAGCATCCCCTCTCCTGAGCCTTGGCTATTTCCCTGAGTGTCCAAAACTACCCCATGGCTTTTTGGCAATGCTGGGATAGACTGAGGAGATAGATCTGCGGTGGGAATCTCTCCGAGTCTGGAAAACATGGGAGAGCTGACACTGAATGGGCTCCTGCTCTTCTCTTTTGCCTCATTTCATTTTTTTTTTTAAATGAGACAGAGTTTCCCTGTGGAGCCCAGGTTGACCTCAACTCATGAACTTCTTTATTCCACTTCCCTAAATGCTGGGATGACGGGAGCAGGACATCCTGTCCAGTCGCCCTTGCTCTTCTTTCCTTCCTTCCTTTCTTTTTTCTCCCCCCACCTCTCCTCTCTCTCTTTCTGAGACAAGGTCTCTCTACACAGCCCTGGCTACTGGCTATTCCTGAGACTCACTGTGTAGACCAGGCTGGCCTCAAACTCACAGAGATCTGCCTGCCTCTGCCTCCCGAGTGCTGGGATTGAAAATGAGCACCACTATGCCCAGCTTTGCTCTTCTTACTTTAACTTGGATTCCAGCCGAGCCAAGAATGACCTCAGAAATCTTGTTCAGCCAGGACCTGCCTGGATAGATCCTATAGGGTTGGTTGAAGCAAAGAGTTTGTCCCAGAGTGGCTTTGCTGGCTCTCAGGGACATCCTGGCCTCTAAGAGAGCATCTAATGGAGACAGACTGCAATGCTGTTATCTCACAGGGTCATTATAAAGTTGGAAAGCTCATATATACTTAATTCCAGGAATCCTCAGCTGGGAGAGGAGGTAGGTCATAGGGCAGCTGTTATAACAGTGTCTTGAACTACTGCTATCCCGGCAGTGACTTTCTTAACAGCCTCACTTTTCCTAACAGGAACTAGGAGGGAAAGTATCTACACAGCTTAGTAAGTAGACAGGGCTGCAAGCCTGAGATGGTGATCTACTGCAATGTGTTGAACCCAGCCAGCCTGAGGCCCAAAGCCAGCCATGGATGGCCCTTCTCTGAGTCGGAATGGTGTGTGCCCACCCAGCCTTTGCTCAGTACCCTCCTCTCATTTTCTGTAGTAAAAGAGCTCTGCTTGCCTGGTAGTTTACATGACCCAGTTTGTTCCCCTCCTGGGCACCGTGTGTGACAAACAGGAACCGCTGTTTGCCAAAACATAATGGGCATTTCTTGATCTTTGTCTGGCCGGGGGTTACTTTAGGATTTCCAGCATTGGAGAACGAGGCACCACTTTTGACTATGAGCCTAGGTTGCTGTCTGCTGCTTTTCTGGGGTGCTTGGGATCTTCTCCGTGCTTTGACATCGAGGTTCCAGGAGGAAGCTGAATCCTAACCCATGAAACTTTGAAGACAGATACTTTTTGGCGCTGTGGACAGGGTTAGAGGACCTGAGGCTGAATAGTGGCTGAGGCACCTGGAGGGAGATGGCAGGGAGAAGCCCTTAAAATCCCTGGCCTGGGGCAGGAAATGGGATTGGTGTGAGCGCCTGGGCCGAGGAGGAGTCCTCCCTCTGCCTCCACACACACAAGTCAAGTCAGGATACAACCCCTGCCAAACCGTGGGATGGAAGCAGGGGTATTCCCACCCCTCGCTGACCCTGTACTTTGCTATTCCACTAGTGCCTCCCATTGGCCAAGCCAAGCCAGGAAGCCACAGGGGCCTCAGCAGGGAAGTTGCAAGGACAGCATCCAGAGGCAGCCAGAGGAACAACATGGCCGCAAACCGGTCAGCAATCAGACTGAGCACACTTGCCTGAGACTGTCAGGGCCTCCATGGGCTCATCACTGAAGCTAGAGGTATGGGGCACATGGATTCATTTGGACTTATCACGGGATGAGCATGGGGTAAGACAATGCAGTCATTGTCCTGCCTTTTGAATATCAACTGTTGGCTGCCAGTCCCATTGAGGAATCTTTCTATTGCCCATTCCTGTGAGTAAGTCACTCATCTTCTACTTAAAAAAAAATTAATTCTTTTCCCTCATATTTTAAAATTTGAATTAATAATAATAAAAAAGCCCTCAAGGTTGACAAGGACTAGGATTGACAGTAACTATGGCTTTTAGAAATCCCTGTTGTCCATTTAAATTTTAATGTTTCTATCATTTGTTCCTCAGTGTAAATTAACAGCCATGGCAGTGTGTGGGGTTTCTTCTCTGAAGTCGAGACTTTAAATTTAATTCAATCGCCGAGATTTACGGCACTTCTATATTTCACACGGCAGAATCAATAATGTGACTGAAGTGAAGAAGATAAAAATTTATGGTATCTTGCAATTTAATGGTTGAAAAGATGCAATTGGAGAGATCATAAATTGTGAAGGAGTTTATGCTTCATTGCTTCTGATTCAGTGCTTGCTGTTGGAACTTGATTTGTGGCTATTCACAAGGTGTGATTAATGGTGTGATCGATGCTGGCCTCAGTGCGGTAAAGCAGTTGTAATGCTCTTCATTAGAATAAATAAAATAAATTGACTGAAGCTTTATAAAAACTGTGTAACATTTAAAATCTAAAATGTCAATTTTTTTTCCCCGTTACAATTTAGGTTTCTTCAGGCAGTTTCCACCTACATCACATCACTCACTGTCATTCTTTTGGGATATTATAGAAACCCATGTGGGTTTGGGTTAGCTTTATGCAAAGCTCACCGAAGGGGAAGAGAGGAAGAGCTGAATAGGACCGCAGGAGCTGGGACATTGTGGTGGCTGTGCTCTGTCACGTTCCTAATGTGCATTTTATCCTTCTTAAACACACAGGGTTTAAAGAAGCCAAGGCAGAAAATGACCCTTTCTGTTCGTCGATTTGTCACAAACACAGTCAAAGCAGGTCACGTCCATTTCCGAAGCAGGTGGGTATTCAGGTGTCCTGGTGGCAAGCACCCACCCTTTAGAAAGCTTTGTCTTCGCGCCCAGAGGCTTTTGTTATATGTGCACACGGTGATTCAGCATAGGGAGGGGCAGGGAGTCTCCCCAGGTTTGGCAAGAATGAGGCACATCTAGGCACTGCCTGGCTGGGTACGGGTGCCTTTACAGGCACACACAGGAATTCTTCCAGCTGGGGAGCTTATTCAGGGCATTCAAAGAACAGCTAGCTGCCTTCGCTTCCATTTCAAACTCTGAAATTAATACTGCCTGTTAAAGTGAACTTTTGGCACATCCTGGAGAGGGACATGCCTGCAGAGATCTCTTGGCTTGCTTTGTTTCGTGTGACCAGTTTTGTCTTTTTATTAAAATGTTAAAACTCACCGGTCAGTGACTGGGTTGGTTTACTAGAACTCAGACGGCTGTGACTTACGGGGGCTCCAAGCCACTAGGAATCACACACTGACACCAGGCCTTGGATCTTTGAAGGGCATTTGCACTACTTAAGGGCATTCCAGGAGGATGAATGTAGAAAGGTTTGGTGAGGTGGCTGTCCCTCAATGTCAAGGCCTTAAAAAGGGGAAGCCATGGCAGTCAGCCTCCCTGTCATTTGGTATGGACACCACATTGAAGTTCTGTTTCTGTCACCTTGGGATTCTCCAGGAGGATGGGAGTGGAGAGATGCCAAAAGGTGGCCCGTGTGTACCAGTTTTCAACTCTAACGAATCAAGTCCGCCGACTTCCTGGATTTTCTTTCTTTCCCTGGAGAGATCCTTCACTTAATCTCTATCTTCAAAATGATAGTGTCTTGGTATAGCAGAGACTTAACTTCCTAAAACAAGTTCTCTACCTTGGCCACCCTCAGTTGAATGAGTCACCTTCTGCATTGGTATCTAGGAGCCGAACAGGAAAGAGAACCGCACCAGAATTCCCCAGTGCTTACAGTAGGACATACATCTCATGGGGTGGGACTTCCTGTGTCACTCATGCCTGTGGGAGCTAGAGAAGGAAGACAGAATTCTCTGATGAAAGGGGACAAAGGAGAGAGTAGGGAGATTCAACAGAGCATGAGTGAAACCAAACTGCTTAGTTCTTCGATACGTTCTGTTCGAGGCTGAAATTCTGAGGGTGTTAACTAACTCAGATCAAGCTGGAAAAGCTGCAGACCCCTTGTGGGAGTCCCTCAAGGGCTGGGCTGTGTATATCGCGTGAGATAGTTTGTCTTGATTGCCACCTTGACTGGATATAGAGATATCACAGATGGGCCAAATTGCCCTTGCCTATCTGTGGGGGTATTTGCAGAGAGGTCTGAAGCTTGGGGCAGTAAGTAAGTAGGAGAGAAAGACCTCACCGTGGGTAGCATCTTCCAAAACACGACGTCCCCGTCCCCAGGGAGCATGGTGTGTCCCCACAGGCCTTTGTTCTTTCTGAGCTCCATGTCAGTTACTGCCGATGCTCTCCTCCCCCTCTCCAACCCAACTCCAAGCTCCAGCCTCTTTGGCCATCGATGTGGACTCAATACCACCGACTCTCCAGGCATCTCTCAGGCCTTCAGTACCTACTTGAGGCTGTTGAGAAACCTAGATTTTTGGATTTGAACAGCTGCTGGGTTCTGTCTCTCCAGAGTGCAGACCACTGCAGTTGGACTTTTTAAGTTGTATCAACGGCTGTCATCTACAGCATGAGCTCAGTAAATGTTCTTTTGTAAAGATAAGGCAATGGATAAATCTTCTTAGAGATCACAGGCAAACCCAGCAACTAGAAAAACTGTCAAGGGCCATCACTGAAAGTCTTGAAAACAGAAGAGCTTGTTAAGTCAGGGCGGGGGTCTGAAGTAAACTGTGTGGCGTGGGGAAAGCTAACACAATCATGTGTGCGCGCGCGCGTGCACCGCGCATGAGCGCACACCATCGAGCGAGCACACATGCTCTAGAAATCACTGTGCTAGTTTGGGTGGCTTTTGACCAGGCTTCCAGGCAACAGACATAGCAGTTTGGGGAACAAATAGGGTAAGAAATCCTAGTCATTTATTTGGAGAAGGGAGTAGTGGGTTTTGGCAGGGAAACTCCCGATACAGTCTATAAATAAGTAGGAATGATTTTGGCAAATTGAGGGAACTAGATAAACTTCTCTGTCTTCTTATCTGTGCTGAGGGTGGGTAAAGTGGGTAAGACATTCCCTGGGGTCTCCTTAAGCTCTATATCCTGCCTGTTTCTAGATCTAAGACCCTTTACTTGCCAAGGTGCTGCTGACAGTAACTGGCACGTCTCTAGGGGTACTCTCGAATAGCCGGAACTTCTTCCCTGGTGCACTAGCCACAGCCTTTCCTGGGAGGGCCTTGCTCGCCATCTTGATCATTACTATCTATTCCTTTCTTTGGCCCTGGCCTGCCTGCTTGAGAGCCTCTACTCAGCTCTCTGGACACAGCCAAGGGGATTGTCACTGGTGTTGGGTGCACATGGAGGGCTGAAGAGGCTGGAGTCTGACGACAGTGGAAGTCTGAAGGCAGCAACGGTCGTTGACACAGAGCTCAGGAAGAAACGAAGGTGTTTGGGCACCGACAGCTCTTCCCAGGGACTGGGTGTTTTGGAAGGTGCCACCCACAATGAGGTCTCTCTCTCCTAGTCACTATACCAAGTGTCAGTCCCTGAAAACACCACCACAGTGTTTTGGGCTTACATGATAGGGTATAAGTTGCTGAAACTCAGCTCAAGCCCAAACCAAACTTTCACAGGGAACTCTTGCTTCCCCTAGCCCCACATCTCCCATTCCAGAACAGGATTTGAGGTCCGTATTTGCAGGGTCTGTTAAAGTATTTGGGGCTTCCCCCACCCCACACTCCTAAGTACTCTTTGGCCTTTGATTTAAGCCTCCATTTCTAGCAATAAAGAAAACCACCTGTTTTGTTTTGAAGCTATCGGAGACGGCAGAGGTCGATTCTGGCCTGTAGTGCTGGGAGCGCCCAGCTCTCATTAGGGTCTAGAGTGGAGCCCCAGAAAGCCCTGCTAGCTCTGCCACAGCAGTCCAGGGATGTGATATTGTCTATGCTGCCGGGACATTAGTAGGTTGGCTTCATGATTATTAAGATTTGAGCTTCTAGCCCTGTGCCGAATCTGCGGCTAAAGATGCTCTGTTTACTTCGGTGGAGCTGGGAGACGGGGAGAGGCCATTGCTTCCTGGCTGGGGTCCCCTTTTCTGCCAGGTGTTGACAAAGGCAATTGTTCCAAGGCGAGGCAGTGCAGTGCTCCTCTGTGAAGGTACCTACTAGACCCAGGAATGTTTAAGGAGAAAGCCACCACGGCCACCAGGTCACCCCATTTCCCTTCCCCCTCTTCCCTTGTTGAATTTGGCTTATAGCTGTGCCAAGGCCGCGGAAACAATGGCTGCAGAGTACTGGCGATTTTCCGAATGTTTTCAGGTACGCGATCCCTCGTTGGCCCCCCACATCGGGACCGCAGTCTCGGCTGGCTGCTTAGACCCATTCTGCAGATGGGAGGACAGCGCTAGTCTATGGCTTGGTCCTGGTGTCCCAAGCAGGCCATGGCTGGCTGCAGACCAGTGAGCCTCCCCGGATCACCCGTTCCCCACCTGGCTCAAATGTAGCGCTCGGTCAGAACTGCTCTCTGCCTGTGTAGACGGCCTTTCTGCGGTTTTGCAGAGCGGAGGTCCAGCCCCTGCCTTTTACAGTTCAAAGTAATTCTTCTGAACACATTTTCACCGGAAAGCCCGAGCTCTGGCACAAGCCACTTTTCAATCAAGTGTTCCCTGAAAGAATATGTCAGCTCCTCCAAGAAGAGGTGATAGTTCATGGTGAATACTGTCTGGCTTTCTTATGAATCTGTCGCAATTTAGGGGACAGTAAGAGGGAAAGAAAGAAGTTTTCCCTCATTCAAATAGTCCCCACACCGTTCCTCCTTCGGCGTTTTGGGCTCACCAATTTCTCTTCTGCTGTAATGCCCACATATTCTTAGGTGAGAGCAACAGGGTCTGGTCCACCTTTGGGGTGGTCACAGCCTGTTCTTGTGATTTCTTTGTGGACTGAGGCAACAGAAGCGGTCAGGGCTAGAGACGGAGCTCAGCTATAGAGGACGAAGTCCTAAGTTCTATTCCCAGCACTGCATCAATAGGGTGTGATGGTGCATGCCTGTGAGCCCGGCACTCAGCAGGGGGAGGAGGCCAAGAAGACCTGAAGGTCAAGGTCATCCTCAGCTACAAAAGGAGTTTGAGGCCAGCTTGGGCCTGAGACCTTGTCTCAGATAATAGAGGAAGAGAGGAAGAGAGGGAGGGAGGGGTGGAGGGAGGGAGGGAGGGAGGGAGGGGAGGAGAGAAAGAGAAAATGAAAGGGATGGAGAAAAGGATGGAGACGTGAGAGAGAGAGAGGGAGGGGGCAAGAGAAAGAAAAGAAAGGGAGGGAGAGGAGGGAGAAAGGAAAGGGGAAGAAATCATTCCAAAGTCTGTCCTCACATTCCATTTATTCTAGAAACTAAATGCAGGTTCATCTTGTTAGCATCTTTAGCTACCTACATTTCGGTGACCCCCTTACATAAGACAAAGTGGATATATTTATCTCATCAAGCAACAGCTGGGTCAAGGCTGTCAAGAATCCCTCCCTTTTCTGCTTCCTCTGAGTGGCCGGCTGATCTCTGAGGGCAGGGACCCGAGGGAAAACAGCCCCACAGGCAGGGAGGGCTGTGCTCATTAAGTCTTCAGGCCTCGGAGGCTGGAGGCCTTCTGGGGAAGCTGCTTAGAAGATTGCTGGGGGACTCCTGCTGTTACACCGAGTTGAGTCTCTTTCCTTTCTCTCCCACTTATCTCTCCCCTTATTAGAGAATCCTCTAAAACCAGGAGGAAGGAGAGGTAAGCTTTCTGGCTGGCTCCCAGTCCTTCCGCCTCTCATTAAGGCTTCTTGCTCAGTGTGTTCTGTGATGTGAACTTGTGAACTCCATACTGCTTACTTTACCATCATTGTGAAACCAGCACTTCAAGC